GAGGCACACAACACCTTAACCGGCCCCCGGATGCAGCCGGCCCCACACTGTGGAGACCATGAGAGGATCTCGGCTGTTCGCCAATTGAAGGTTGGATTGTGCCTCTGGAGCCAAGGATACCCCAAAACCACCGAATAGTGTGGGGAAGAAATCACCTGAAAACAGGCCAACTCCCTGTGAACAGCCCCTATAGCTACCTCAATTGGCAGAGTCTCGTGGGTAACCTGCGGCGGTTGCAGGGGCCTGCCATCTATTGCTTCGAGAACCAATGGGGTAGCACGAGCCTGCAGGGGAATGGAGTGCTGCGCAGCAAACGAGCTGTCCAAGAACAACCCACCGGCCCCAGAATCTACCAACGCCTGGGCCGTCGCCGAGCCCTCCTTCCAAGAGAGGACAACGGTGATCAGTGGTTTATCCTTAAAATATATAAGTTAGTGAGCGCAATCCGACAAGCGACCAATGCACTAAAAGGAACCACAAAACCTTTCTAATAAACTCAAAAGTACAAGGAGTGCAGCGCTACATCAAATTAAATGGCAAAAAAAAAAAAAAATTAAATACAGTAAAATAATATCAATATAGTCAAATATTAAAATAAGTCCACTGTAATATAAATATATGGATTCCTCAGTCCACAGTGAAATATCAGACGTTGTAGGTGCAATCTGGTCTCCCGTTGTGATAATATGAATAGATTGCCTACTCACCAGAAACCCAGTAATAAACGCATATCTGTATCACATGCATCCTAGGATCTTGAATAAAGACATCCCGGAAATGAAATCCTCTGATGGACCCTCAGTGGTGAAAGAAAGGATACCGATCTGTTCTCCAAGTATTTACTTCATCAAGTCTGCAGCAATACCTAAATCACTGGGGCTGAGACATGGAGGCTCAGTGCCAGATATGGAGAATAAAGGTGCAAAAATAAAATCTGAGCAGAAATACATACATGAATGACTGCATATAGTATGAAACTGCTATGAGCAGTAAAAGCACCCAAAAACACTGACCAGTATACACATCTAATGTGGGCCGCCGGACCTCCTGATCCGGCGGCGTAGCGTCAAAGCGTGCAGGGGCTCCTCCTAGACGTGTTTTGTGTAAACACACATCTGCAGTAGGGGTGATGCCATGCACGCCGGACGCCATATTAGCTCTATATATAGGATAGAAAAATGCATAATCCAGCCGGCGCCATTTTGCCGTAGACCGGCATATTGAGCATGTGCGGGTGCCATTTTGCCGGTGATTTCCGGGTTGCTAAAAATGGCCGCCGTATGTCCCACTGCACATGTGCCGGCGCCATTTTCTTGGTTAGAAGCTCCAGTGTCCTAACCCCAGAGTTGCCAGAGAACTTTAAACCCTCAAACACGGCCGTACGGTCGCCGATCTTACTGGGGGTGACACCCAAAATATGAGAACCCATTCCAGTGTCCTAACAAAACCGGCCAAAAAGCAAAAAATCAATACAACAAAAACTCTTGTACTCCATACATCTCTTATACAACTAATAAGATGTAGAGGCACCACCTAGTGTTCTATCTGGGAATAGTCATAGGTCAAACTTTAAATTAAAATTATAATTATAATAAGCCATTAAAAGGATATGACAGTAATATCCGTTCTGAATATAATACTGTGCATAGATAAAAAATGCGGCCTCTAATTTACTGAAATACCTTACTGGTTTCGGTACAGATTCTAGTTCAGTAATCTGCTCCAAAACCTGGCACATTTAAAGCGGTAATGTATATTTAAAATACTCTATTATAGCTACAAAATTAGTATAACAGTCAGAAGTACAAGAAAATTACATTACACATCCCAAAGCATCCAATAATAAAAATTAAAATGAAAACAAAATTAAAATTAAAAATAAAGTAATGTCCCTGTCAGATGGGTAGTACAAATGTTTCAATGATATGTGTGGTCAACTATTGTCAATGAAACAATTAAGGTCCACTTCCACATTCAAGCCGCGCGGGGTCAGGGATTTCATTTCAAAAATCCACTTTGTTTCCAGACGTGAAACCTGTCTGGTATTATTAGAACCACGCCAATGATGTTGTGCCACGTCAATTCCTGTAAATTTAAGAGAAGATGGATCCCTATGATGAAAATCCCTATAGTGTTTAGATAAGGAATGTTCCCGGAAGCCCCTTTTAATATTGTACACATGATCTCTAAGCCTGTCACGGAGTCTCCTTGTTGTTCTACCTATATACTGTTTTTGGCACGGGCATTCTAGAAGATACACCACGTGTCGTGTATTACAAGAAATAAAAGAAGTTATCTCATAATCTTTACCGGTTACAGTAGAGGAGAAGGACTCAATTTTCCTCTTCGACATTTTACTATGTCTACATAATTGACATTTCTTACAAGGGAAGAAACCCTTAAAATTCCCGAAAAAGACTGGGCGTACGGGGGGATCCATAATGTTTGGGGCTATGGTATTACGTAATGTTAAGGCTTTCCTGAAAACAACTTCTGGTTTTTGAGGGAGAACTTTTGAAAGAATCGGATCCGCTCTAAGTATTTCCCAATGCTTCTTCACAATATGACGTATAGTTTTATGCTGTATTGAATAGGGGGTAATGAACGGGCAGAACATTTCCTTTTTCTGTTTAGGTGGTCCAGAGAGTATATCATGCCTATCCAAATTAGCTACTATGTTGATGTCTCGATCTAAGGAGTCAGCCAAATAGCCTTTATCCAAAAATCTCTGTTTGAGAATTTGTGCCTTCTCATAATAAGTCCCACTTTCAGTACAATTACGTCTTAGCCTCATAAATTGGCTTTTGGGAATGCCAGCTAGCCATTTCGGATGATGACAGCTGTCCATAGGGATGTACCCGTTTCTATCTGACGGCTTGAAATATGCTTCAGTACTACATTTACCTCCTATGTTAATGATGGTAATATCCAAAAAATTCACACATTCAGAGCTATATTCGTATGTGAGTTTAATGTTCTGACTGTTATTGTTGAGTGTGCCAAAAAGTGGTTTATCCTTGCGGCACGCCGGGGACGACGAAACTCCACCCAAGATCTGTCCCCGACAGGATCTCAGGTGCGAGCGTTTCCCGGACGGACTGGACAAGACCGACGAAAGTGCCCATCGAGGCCACAGTACAGGCAGCGACCCTCCCAACGCCTCCCGACCCGCTCTCCCTCGGAAAGGCGAGCAAAACCCAGCTGCAAGGGCTCCCCCACCAGACAAGCTATCCTCAGGAGGCGTGGGAGGAGAGGAAGGAACGGGTGGGACAGAAAACGCAGGTGCCAGTCGATTGGAAGGCCTCCGCAGGCGTTCCTTGAGTGAAGGCCTCTCCCTGAGCCTGGTGTCAATCAGGATCAGGAAAGAGAGATGAGCTCCTCCAACTCCGCAGGCAGTTCCTTAGCTGCAATCTCGTCCTTCAATGCGTCAGAAAGACCATGGGAAAACGCAGCCACCAGAGCCTCATTGTTCCAACCCACCTCTGCCGCCAGGGTACGAAACTCTATGGCGTACTCGGCCACGGTCCGTGAACCCTGATGCATGGTCATGAGCAGCTTGGCCGCCGAGGCGGAACGAGCTGGTATGTCGAATACCCTGCGGAAGGCATCAACAAAACCGGAAAAATTTTGAATTACCGGGTCGTTCCTTTCCCATAAGGGATTTGCCCAGGCCAAGGCCTTGTCTGAGAGCAGCAATATTAGGAACCCTACCTTTGACCTCTCAGACGGAAAGGCGTAGGGTATTAGCTCAAAATAAATACCCACCTGATTGAGGAATCCGCGACACTGACTCGGCTCACCCCCAAAGCGCTGTGGAACAGGGGCAGAACCAGTCATACCTCTGGGTGCCGCCGATGACGCAGCAGCCGAGGTGGTGGGCGCAACAAGCGGAGTCGCAGCGGGAGCGACCACCGGAGTGACTACCGGCCTAATAGCACCAGGAAGCGTTTGTTTTGTTCCCAAGTGCATAAAATGTGGCTTTTGTTTTTTGGAGATTAACGTCATAATCGTGGAGTAAGATGGTGCATAGTTTGTTTCTATCTATGTTTAGAGCCGCAGATGTGGAAGGGTTTGGGGTTTTTTTTGTTGATCTCTTCATTTAATTGAATGGAACTGAGTAGGTGGTCAATTTGTTGTGTGCGTTTCCTGTTAATGCGTGAGTTAAGTTGTATAAGGATACCTCTCATGTAGGCTTTGTAAGTTAACCAAAGCGTAGTAATAGAGATATCAGAGGTAGAATTAGTTTCAAAGAAAAGATTATGGGCTTCTAGTATGTGTTTCTGGTTCTCTGGATCTTTCAGGAGTGCAGAGTTCAGTCTCCATTTTAGCGGGATTGCCGATCGTCGTTTGCTGTCTAAGGATATGTTGATTGGGGCGTGGTCAGACCAGGATATAGTACCAATTTTTGACGACGTTACATGATAAAGGGTCCATTTCTCAGTAATGAAAAAATCGATTCTCGAGTACGAAAGATGAGAGGGGAGAAGTATGTATAGTATTTCTCATGCTGACATCTCCAGATATCGTACAGATCATGCTCATGCAGAAAGTGATTAAAATTTAATTTGGAGGGTCTTTGGCTGGAGGAGGAGTCTAAAGATGGGTTATTTAGGACATTAAAGTCGCCATCAATAATAAGTCTACCTTCTTTGCAACGTTCAACGATCTTGTATAGCTTATGGTAGAAGCGCAACTGTTTGCTGTTTGGCCCATAGATATTCACTAAGGTGTAGGTTATGTCTAGAGATGAGCGAAGTATTCAAAAATTCGATTCGACTGATTCGGCGAATTCGTGGAAAAAATTTGATTCGAGTCGAATATATTCGCTGTGAATTTAACTTAAAAAAGGGTGTTTCTAGGCTTCAGAGAGACTTTATATTAGTGCAGAACACTGTACCTTTAATTTAAATGCCCTTGGAGTCTGCTGAGGAAAAGAAATAATACTGTCAGTCAGTATGACATGCAGATGAGTGCCGTCGATCTTAGAATCACCGCACACTTCACTCATTTGGCCAGTCACGGGGCCAAAACCAGTGTTTGGAGCCACAGTGTGGCGGTGGAGGCAGCAGCAATGGGAGGCCATACAGCACCCTATGACAAAATGGAAACCAGCAGGAGTGTGAGGAGACCTGAAAGTGGCACATGGCAGAGTGGGAGCAATGGGAGGCGGTACAGCGACCCATGACACACTGTGGACCCAGCAGCAGCGTGACCAGGCGGTACGGGGGCCCATGGCAGATTTGGGGCCTGGCAGCACCTATAGGAGGCCTGTAATCTGCCAGCAACCTATGACAAAATGGAAACCAGCAGGAGTGTGAGGAGACCTGAAAGTGGCACATGGCAGAGTGGGAGCAATGGGAGGCGGTACAGGGAGACCCATGACACACTGTGGACCCAGCAGCAGCGTGACCAGGCGGTACGGGGGCCCATGGCAGATTTGGGGCCTGGCAGCACCTATGGGAGGCCTGTAATCTGCCAGCAAACTATGACAAAATGAAACCAGCAGGAGTGTGAGGAGACCTGAAAGTGGCACATGGCAGAGTGGGAGCAATGGGAGGCGGTACAGGGACCCATGACACACTGTGGACCCAGCAGCAGCGTGACCAGGCGGTACGGGGGCCCATGGCAGATTTGGGGCCTGGCAGCACCTATGGGAGGCCTGTAATCTGCCAGCAACCTATGACAAAATGGAAACCAGCAGGAGTGTGAGGAGACCTGAAAGTGGCACATGGCAGAGTGGGAGCAATGGGAGGCGGTACAGGGACCCATGACACACTGTGGACCCAGCAGCAGCGTGACCAGGCGGTACGGGGGCCCATGGCAGATTTGGGGCCTGGCAGCACCTATGGGAGGCCTGTAATCTGCCAGCAACCTATGACAAAATGGAAACCAGCAGGAGTGTGAGGAGACCTGAAAGTGGCACATGGCAGAGTGGGAGCAATGGGAGGCGGTACAGGGACCCATGACACACTGTGGACCCAGCAGCAGCGTGACCAGGCGGTACGGGGGCCCATGGCAGATTTGGGGCCTGGCAGCACCTATGGGAGGCCTGTAATCTGCCAGCAACCTATGACAAAATGGAAACCAGCAGGAGTGTGAGGAGACCTGAAAGTGGCACATGGCAGAGTGGGAGCAAATGGGAGGCGGTACAGGGACCCATGACACACTGTGGACCCAGCAGCAGCAGCGTGACCAGGCGGTACGGGGGCCCATGGCAGATTTGGGGCCTGGCAGCACCTATGGGAGGCCTGTAATCTGCCAGCAACCTATGACAAAATGGAAACCAGCAGGAGTGTGAGGAGACCTGAAAGTGGCACATGGCAGAGTGGGAGCAATGGGAGGCGGTACAGGGAGCCATGACACACTGTGGACCCAGCAGCAGCGTGACCAGGCGGTAGGGGGGGCCCATGGCAGATTTGGGGCCTGGCAGCACCTATGGGAGGCCTGTAATCTGCCAGCAACCTATGACAAAATGGAAACCAGCAGGAGTGTGAGGAGACCTGAAAGTGGCACATGGCAGAGTGGGAGCAATGGGAGGCGGTACAGGGACCCATGACACACTGTGGACCCAGCAGCAGCAACGTGACCAGGCGGTACGGGGGCCCATGGCAGATTTGGGGCCTGACAGCACCTATGGGAGGCCTGTAATCTGCCAGCAACCTATGACAAAATGGAAACCAGCAGGAGTGTGAGGAGACCTGAAAGTGGCACATGGCAGAGTGGGAGCAATGGGAGGCGGTACAGGGACCCATGACACACTGTGGACCCAGCAGCAACGTGACCAGGCGGTACGGGGGCCATGGCAGATTTGGGGCCTGGCAGCACCTATGGGAGGCCTGTAATCTGCCAGCAACCTATGACAAAATGGAAACCAGCAGGAGTGTGAGGAGACCTGAAAGTGGCACATGGCAGAGTGGGAGCAATGGGAGGCGGTACAGGGACCCATGACACACTGTGGACCCAGCAGCAGCGTGACCAGGCGGTACGGGGGCCCATGGCAGATTTGGGGCCTGGCAGCACCTATGGGAGGCCTGTAATCTGCCAGCAACCTATGACAAAATGGAAACCAGCAGGAGTGTGAGGAGACCTCAAAGTGGCACATGGCAGAGTGTGGCGATGGAAACAGCATCAATGGGAGGCCGTACAGGGACCCATGACACACTGTGGACCTAGCAGCAGCGTGACGAGGCGGTACGGGGGCCCATGGCAGATTTGGGGCCTGGCAGCAGCAATGTGAGGCCCGTAATCTGCCAGCATCCTATGACAAAATGAAACACACCAGCAGTGTGAGGAGACCTGAAAGTGGCACATGGCATGACACACTGTGGACCTTGCAGCGCGTGAGGAGGCGGTACAGGGGCCCATGGCAGATTAGGGGCCTGGCCACAGCAATGTGAGGCCCGTAATCTGCCAGCATCCTATGACAAAATGGAACCCAGCAGCAGTGTGAGGAGACCTGATAGTGGCACATGGCAGAGTGTGGCGTTGGAGACAGCAGCAACGGGAGGCGGTACAGGGACCCATGAGACACTGTGGACCTGGCAGCAGCGTGAGGAGGCGGTACAGGGACCCATGGCAGATTAGGGGCCTGGCCGCAGCAATGTGAGGCACGTAATCTGCCAGCATCCTATGACAAAATGAAACACACCAGCAGTGTGAGGAGACCTGAAAGTGGCACATGGCATGACACACTGTGGACCTGGCAGCAGCATGAGGAGGCGGTACGGGGGCCCATGGCAGATTAGGGGCCTGGCAGCAGCAATGGGAGGCGGTACAGGGACCCATGAGACACTGTGGACCTTGCAGCAGCGGAGGAGGAGGCGGTACAGGGGCCCATGGCAGATTAGGGGCCTGGCAGCAGCTATGGGAGGCCCGTAATCTGCCATCACCCTATGACAAAATGGAACCCAGCAGCAGTGTGCGGAGACCTGAAAGTGGCACATGTTTGGGGCATGATTCATGGCGGATTTAGTCAGTTGTGTCAGGAACTGGTGGTTTGAAATCCAGACTAATCCACGCCTGATTCATTTTCACAAACGTCAGTCTCTCCACACACTTTGGGTGGACAGTCGTGTCCTCCGCGGAGTTACAATACCCCCTGCCGCTCTAAACACGCGCTCCGATGCCACGCTACTGGCCGGCATGACAGCCTTTCAAGGGCAAATTCAGCTAGTTGGGGCCAAAGGTCAAGTTTCGTTGCCCAGTAGTCAAGGGGATTGGCTACCTCGGTTGGCAGGGTGCTGTCCAAGTAGGCCCAAGCCTGTTGTTTTGAGCTCCTGCTCCAGGTCCACCTGATGCTGCTGCTGCTGCTGCGGCTGGTTAGTAGTTTCCTCACTGCGCTGGTGAAAGCTACTCATCATCGACTGCAGACTGAGGCAGCCGCTGCTGGTGGAGCTGCCACTGCTCCTACCACCCCACCCCTCCCCTGCTGCCATGGCAGCGGAACGCGAGCGCACAGGGTCCACAGTGTCTGAGGATGGACGTTGGCGCAGAAAGGCAGAGACCAACTGACTACATAGGTGGTTTTTATAGTACGTAATTATGGCCTCCCTCTCAGCAGGTGTGAAAAAGGCCACCATTTTGGAACGGTAGCGAGGGTCCAACAAGGTGGACAGCCAAAAGTCATCCCTCTGTCTGATGGTTATTATTCGGCTGTCGCTACGCAAGCAACCGAGCATGCTATGGGCCATTTTTGCCAAGGAATGCAAGGGACTCCCTGCCTCCATCTCCACAGCATACTGCCACGGTGCGTCTGGGTCCTCTGTCTCCTCCTCCTCCTCCTCTACCAGATGCTCCTGCTCCTCCACTCCTGTCCGCTGAGTGGAAAAACCACCCATTTCACTCAATAATTCCTGAGCACAAATGTCCTCCTCTACCTCCTCCTCTTCTTCCTGTCCTGCCCCCACAGGGGTCATGTGGCGTTGAGATCTGTGCGCCACGTCTACCGCACCTGACCAGCCATTGTTAACAGCATTTGTTCCAGGACGTGCAACAGAGGAATGACGTCGTTTCATTCCCCTAGTCCCTGCCGACTCACGAATAGCGTGGCCTCCTCAAAGGGCCTGAGCAAGCGGCAGGTGTCACGCATGAGCTGCCAATGGCTGACATCGAAGTTACACAGGGGACTACCTTTATCCGCTTGTAACATCAGGAAATCGGTTGATGGCCTTTCGCTGTTCGTAAAGGCGGTCTAACATGTGTAGGGTTGAATTCCACCTTGTTGCAACGTCGCAGATCAGGCGATGCGTGTGGAATTCCGTTTCTGCCGCTGCAGCTCAAGGAGGGTGTGCTTTGCGCTGTAGGAATGGCTGAAATGCATGCAAAGTTTACGTGACATTTTAAGGATGTCTTGCAGTGGATGGTGGATTTTAGGAAACCGCTTGACAACCAGATTGAACACGTGAGCCATGCATGGCACATGGCACAACCTTCCTTGACGCAGAGCAGACACCATGTTCTTTCCGTTGTCGGTCAACATGGTTCCGATTTTCAGTTTGCGCGGAGACAGCCATCTGTCGATTTCTCTGTTCATTACACTGAGAAGTTCCTCCCCTGTGTGACTACGTTCGCCAAGGCATACCAGGTGCAGCACAGCGTGACACCGTTGCGCCCTGCACATGTGATATGCCGGTCGGGTAATGGGACTTGGCACGGGGGTGGCGGCTGAGGACACAGCGGAAGAAGAGGTGGTAGAGGCGGACATGTTTGCTGGACCAAGGACGTGCAAACGTGGAGGCAAAAGCGTCGTGACCTGTCCAAGTTGCTGGGTGCGGCTGTGCCGGCACCACGTTCACCCAGTGGGCCGTAAATGACATGTACTGTCCCTGACCGTAGTTACAGCTCCACACGTCGGCGCTGCCGTGCACTTTGGCAGAGACCGACATGCTCAAAGACTGGCCCACCATCTTCTTCTAACATGTGAATGCAGGGCTGGCACTGCCTTTTTGGCGAAGAAATGACGGCTTGGCACTCTCCACCGCGGCGCAGCACAAGCCATCATTTCTCGGAAAGGTGCTGAGTCCACCACTTGGAAAGGGAGGGACTGCAGCACCAGCAACTTGGACAGGAGGACATTCAGCTTTTGCACCGTCGGGTGCGTGCTCGCAAACTGTTGTCTCTTGGAAACGGATTCCAAGAAAGACTGCTGACGGAATCCGTGAAGAGGAGTAGACAGGAGAAGGAGCATCTGAACGAGCGGAAGATGCCCAACGAGCGACAACTCCCCTCAGCAGAGGTGTTGGAGCCTTGACTGGCTGATAGAGGGCGATTGACGTTGGGTGACGGAGCAAGTAACGGAGCGGGTGATGGAGCGGGGGCTGGGTCAGGGAGAACCGCCGTATCTTTATATCACGGTTTTCCCCCAGGCCACCAATGGCGACGCTGCATATGCTGACGCAACGCTGTAGTCCCAACATGGGCCCCCTGGCCACGCTTGACTTTCTGGCCACATAGTCGACATACGGCTACGTTTACTTCCTCGGGCGGCTTGACGAAAAATTGCCACACCCGCCGAGTAGGAAACTTTGCCCCCGCTACTCCTCACTGGCTGACTGCTACTTCCTCCGTGCACACCGGCACCACTACTGGCCGTGGTAGTAGGCTGCAGTGGAGCTGGTGCTCTACTCCGTGGCCGTTTGGCTCCACTGACACTGCTGCGACCCTGCTTCCTCCTGGGCAACCCACCGACTGTTTCGCTCGCTGCCAAGCTGGCACCCTCTTCTCCTGATGATGCGGAAGAAATTGCCTGATGACGACGAGGCTGCCAAGTGCGATCAACCTCCTCATCATCAAGTAGGGTCTCCGCCTCACTACTAGCCCCCTCGGCTGCGTCTGGGTCAGGAGACAGACCTGTCTCTAGACCGGCTACCGAGCCACTCTCCTCGCCAGTACTTCTTCGCCTGGCTGCTGAAGAGGCGGATGTCTCCCCCCGTTCCTGACCTCCCTCTGTTAGCTCTTCCTCACTGTACAGTGGGGCTGAGCCCACAGCATGTGATACTTCGCTTGGTGAGGGAACACCAAAGGACAGGGGCAGGTAGAGGACACGTGATTTCAGTGGGCTTGCTCCCGGGCCATGCCAACTAACGGTTGTGTCTGACGTACCCACCGACCGTTGGTTGTAGGTGTCAGAGGTGACCTGGGAAGAGGAAGACGACTGAGCCAACCAATCGATGACGGCAGGGTTGTCGGTGGAGACACGACCGCTGGATGACACCGGGAGCACTGGCCTCTGGCTGCGAATAGTGCTGCCTTGACCCCTTCCTCTGCTGCCACGTCTGCTCGCTCCTAAAACATTGCCTCCTCTGCCACTCCTCTGCATGTTGTCTGACATACTCTTTAATTCAACGATTCTGTGTCCCTGAGTAAACAATTCTGTGTCCCTGAGTAACAATTCTGTGTCTGTCCCTGAGTAACAATTCTGTGGCCCTGAGTAACAATTCTGTGTCCCTCAGTAACAATTCTGTGTCCGAGTAACGTTTCTGTGGCCCTAAGTAACGGTTCTGTGGCCCTCAGTAACAATTCTGTGTCCCTGAGTAACGTTTCTGTGGCCCTAAGTAACGGTTCTGTGGCCCCTCAGTAACAATTCTGTGGCCCTCAGTAACAATTCTGTGTCTGTCCCTGAGTAACAATTCTGTGGCCCTAACTAACGTTTCTGTGGCCCTAAGTAACGGTTCTGTGGCCCTCAGTAACAATTCTGTGTCCCTGAGTAACGTTTCTGTGGCCCTAAGTAACGGTTCTGTGGCCCTCAGTAACAATTCTGTGTGTCCCTCAGTAACAATTCTGTGTCTGTCCCTGAGTAACAATTCTGTGGCCCTAAGTAACGTTTCTGTGGCCCTAAGTAACGGTTCTGTGGCCCTCAGTAACAATTCTGTGTCCCTGAGTAACGTTTCTGTGGCCCTAAGTAACGGTTCTGTGGCCCTCAGTAACAATTCTGTGTCCCTCAGTAACAATTCTGTGTCTGTCCCTGAGTAACAATTCTGTGGCCCTAACTAACGTTTCCGTGGCCCTAAGTAACGGTTCTGTGGCCCTCAGTAACAATTCTGTGTCCCTGAGTAACGTTTCTGTGGCCCTAAGTAACGGTTCTGTGGCCCTCAGTAACAATTCTGTGTCCCTCAGTAACAATTCTGTGTCTGTCCCTGAGTAACAATTCTGTGGCCCTAACTAACGTTTCTGTGGCCCTAAGTAACAGTTCTGTGGCCCTCAGTAAACAATTCTGTGTCCCTGAGTAACGTTTCTGTGGCCCTAAGTAACGGTTCTGTGGCCCTCAGTAACAATTCTGTGGCCCTCAGTAACAATTCTGTGTCCTGTCCCTGAGTAACAATTCTGTGGCCCTAACTAACGTTTCTGTGGCCCTAAGTAACGGTTCTGTGGCCCTCAGTAACAATTCTGTGTCCCTGAGTAACGTTTCTGTGGCCCTAAGTAACGGTTCTGTGGCCCTCAGTAACAATTCTGTGTCCCTCAGTAACAATTCTGTGTCTGTCCCTGAGTAACAATTCTGTGGCCCTAAGTAACGTTTCTGTGGCCCTAAGTAATGGTTCTGTGGCCCTCAGTAACAATTCTGTGTCCCTGAGTAACGTTTCTGTGGCCCTAAGTAACGGTTCTGTGGCCCTCAGTAACAATTCTGTGGCCCTCAGTAACAATTCTGTGTCTGTCCCTGAGTAACAATTCTGTGGCCCTAACTAATCTTTCTGTGGCCCTAAGTAATGGTTCTGTGGC